TGTCCATTCTTCAATTGTTGGGATATTTTCTTCCTTCCATCGTGAAGCATAAATAATCCGAGCTGCAGTTGTCAGATACAGCAAGAGCTTTCCATGTTTCTTTTCAAGTTCTTTGTCCATTAAACCCAGAAGATATAGTTCCGGTTTTTTAACGATATCAATTGCCAACATTTTTTGAATAGTATTGTGTATTAATGTCCAACATTTCTTTGCTTTCGTGCAAGTCCACCACATATGATAGAATGTACCTGTTTCCCTTCCACATTTTCCACAAATATTTGATGTATTGTTAAACATTTTTGATAATTTGTCTGGGGTTGTGTACCATCTGTACATCATTTTATAAAAGTTCTCTTTCAGGTTGTAACTCAGTGTAAATTTAAGTCCCCCAGTCCACATCCTTTCCCATTGGTCATATTCAATATTGTATCCAAGATTGTTTACCCACTTGATCATACAGTCTTTAGTTTGTACATCTTTCAATTTTAATTGTAGTAATATTTTATATATCTTGGCAATCATGTGATCAGTCTCAAAACATATTTGACTATCCCACCAGGTTGGTTCTTTTGTAAATCTATATCTTTTCACATCTAATTGAAATTGTTCCTTTAATTGTGTATACGTAAACCAATGGCAAGGATCCCCATCTTTCTCTAATTCTTCCCTTGTTTTATTACGTATTTATCTCCTGCATATTTCAATAGATTGCTGTACTTCAACCATTTATAATTTTCTATATTTTCTTGCCTGGTGAAAGCTTCCTGGGGAGATATCCAGAGGGGGAGGCTTGGTGTTAGTATTGGTTTATATTTTCCCCAAATTCTAAAAATGGATCTTCTAATGCAATGATGATTAAAGTCTTTATTTGCTTTGATGTTATCATACCATAGGAAGCCATGCCAGCCAAATTTTAAATCATGTCCTTCTAATTTTAACAACCTATGGTTTTCTAACGTGATCTATTCTTTTAACCATATAAAACCACAAGCCTCATAGTATAATCTTAGATCTGGTAGACCGAATCTTCCTCTTTCTTTAGCATCTTGTAATAATTTACATTTTATCCTTTTTCCCCATGCCAAATAAATTTCGATAGGTCCTTTTGCCATATTTTGAAGGTTTTATCTGTTAACATCCACTGTTGTTTCAACTGTGTTTTAAGGTTTAGGATGTTAAGCAAATTCCACCAACTGTGGTGTCTTAAATAAACCATGGCTTAGCATTTTGGAAGATCATAGCCACAGTGCAGCACAGGGGATTCAAGCACATAGAAATCACAAAGAAAAAGAATAGCATTGGAATCTCTGGCTTTAAAACTGCATCCAGGCATTACAGATCATATTTTAGTAATACAAATGGGTTCTTGTCAGGTTCAGCCCAAGAACCACAGCGAGACAAATCCAGGAACCGTTCAGTTACTTTATTAGCTTACACCTAGTAAACAGAATCTCACCAGACTAACTCTAACCCCCAACAACAGCAACTAAACACTCCAAGTTCCTTAGGGTGGTACCAGTCTCCTTCTCTTCACTTTCACATGCTCTGGCTGAGGGCTGAGGAGGTGCTTGGGATTCCTCCCCCCCCCATGACCTTGGACCTCCTCGCTAATGTCTTCCATCACAGTTCTGTAACTGTCATTTAAAACAGCATTTATGAAAGTATGTACAGTACATTGAATATGTCTTTTTTTTAAACAGGCGGTATATCACAACTTTAAGCGCACTATTTTGCAACAGCAGCTACAGCATTCCAACCTGAATCATGATAAAGTAGAAGTGTTTGCTACCACATGGGCGGCTGCAGGTCCAGAAATAGTGGAAAAATTTAGACAGAGAATTTTGTCACCGTATAAGGTAAATATTACTGAAACTTGTGCAACACTTTAAATAATCAGGGATATAGATAATAGTTTTTCGTTAGCACAGAAGAGATTGGACAGTTTTGTAGCAGAGAGCAAGTAAGTATCATTTCCAGCAAGAACTAAAAATATGTACCAAAATTTCTATTAAAAAAACAACAACCTGTATTTTATGGGTAAGAGCCAAGCAGTATAAAAATGTCAATGGGTATACATACATTGCCCATAAATCAGCTTTATGAAGTTTAAATTCTAAAAATGATGCTTAAAGAAAACAGAGAACAATTGTGTGCTGTATCTGTGATATTAGAGAATCCCATTATTTTATTTGTAGCAGATTTGTCTATGGAATAAAATCCTTGGCTGATTTAAGTATAGCTTTATATTAATCAGATAAGACATTGAAGCAATTTCTGTAAAGGGGTGGTTTTCACATGTTCTTTTGGATAGTTTGGTTACTGGTTGAAGATATCACAGAAATTTGACTTAAGGAC